AAACCACTCTGGCTTTGGCTTCTTGAGAGGGCACAAGACACTGGGGCTGCCAGAGGTTGGCCATCGTAGCAAACAGCTGCCCTCTCACCAAATGTCGCCACTGCTGCTGCTCATCAGTGAGCTGAAGCGATGGACCTAGGTATGCATCAAGTTCCAAGCGTCGGGTGAATGCTCGTTGTAGGCGCTGGACCGGCGAGGGGAGCTGCAGTCTCTTGACAAAGTCCACGTTGGTTTCCCTCGTGAACATGCTGTACGAGCGCACAAGAGAGCGGGCTTGGACAATCAGCTGTGTTTGTAGGGCCTGCATTTCGGCAAGAGGGAGGCCGGTACAATCGAGGCCATGGAGAGGGGCCGGCCAGATGCAGCCCTGCCAGAGCTGAAGTCGGAGTCTTTGAGGGATCGAGCGATTGCGGAGTACGATACCCAGCCTCGAAAAAGAAGCCCGAGCAAGGCGTAGTCTGTGCTCATATGTTTCTCGTTCAAATCGCCGATATGAGATCACGACCCCAAGGTATACATGCTTCGGGACTACCTTGATATAGACCGGGGAGCCATCAATGGAGAACTTGAGGTGAGGGCCATCCTTGAGTCGCACCACGTACCTATCCATGGTTTTACTGGCCAGTGGGCCATGAAGAGTGAAGAGAACAACCGTCTTGTCCATGCTGACACACAGGCCTCTCCGGTGGAGCGAAGTGAGCACATAGCGAACCGCGGCGTAGGCTTTCTCTACATCCCTGCCGGTCCTGAGTAGCCACGCGAAATGCTTGTCGTCTGCGTAGACTGTGCCAGTCCGGGTGATGTCAAGCATCTCAGGGTCGTGCAGCTGCCTCAGCACCCAGGCGCTGTACAGCGCCCAAAGGATGGGTGCCAGTCCACATCCCTGCCTTAATCCACGGTTCAGGCTTATCCTCTTTGACTGGGATCCATGTTGGATTTGGAGTCGCGCTTCAGCGTGGATGAGCAGCACTGCTTGGATCAGGGAGTCCGGAACTGCAGCTGCCCTCAGAGCCGCCTCCAAATCTTGTCTCGGCACATAATCATACGCACCTGTGATATCAAGGGACAACTGAAGGCCCCCGCATACTTGGAGTCCAGTCTTGCCTTGCCGCCTAGCATGTGGGTCATTTTGGTTCTGTGTGATCAAGGTGCGAACAGCAGCACAGTGACTGAGAGCCCGATCCAACGCTTCCTGGAGTGCTGCAAGGACTTTGGCTTGTAGAGGAAGAAGGCATATTGGCCTCAAGTGGGCCGGGGATCGTAGCGTCTTCCCAGCCTTGGGTAGAAGGACCAACTCGCTGAGGTTCCACTCGAAGGGGAGTGAGGTTGTGCCGGCTGAGAGGTGAGCCTGGAATTGTCGGTGAAGAACCTCGACGACCTCTGGGGCGAAGAATTTCCATAATGCTGCTGGTGCACTGGATGAGGGGAGGACTTTCCCAGGACGAAGTCGTTGAAGTGCCTGCTGGATTTCGGCAGTCGTGATGGCCAGGTCCTGAGGGAGGCAGGGCTGTGAGGAGCACGGGGGCCCCTTGTAGAGAAGTTCAAAGTGATCCACAATTTGCTGGAACTCCTCTTCATGGGTTTGGAGACTGCCATCAGGTCGGCGTAGCTGAAGTCTCCGTCGGGGGACCTTCGGAGCAAACTGTTTGGCTGCTTGGTGGATGTTGGCATCCTGCACTACCGCTGCTACCTTGGCCGTCTTCCGGGATCGGCAGGCCTTCCGAAGTTGTCTGGCTTGTTGCTGTATACGGCTCGAGAGTCTCCAGGCCTGGAAGTAGAGGCGAAAGGGGGTGCCCTCACGTCGCCAAAGTCCCATGTCCTGCCCAAGTCGTTGGAGCTCTGCCCGAAGTCGCCACAGGAGCTGGACATGCTGAGTGAGCGGGCCTTCGAAGTCCTCCGCCAGGCTGGTAGATCTCGCTGACCCATCCTGGGCCATCGCCGAGGTCGTAGCCTTCCAGCCTGCGAGAAGTTGAGCATCAACGGAAGCTGTTTCAGCAAGAGTTTGAAGCCCAGGGACCACATGGGTTCTCAGGCACTGTGCGAAGGCTTTATTGTGGAGGTTGGCCCTGACCTGCCGCGGGTGTAGGCGATCTGTGCTGGGTGTCGGTAATGGAGTCCGAGGGCACGGCAAGGAAGCCATCACAGGGCGATGGCGACATCCACTGGTTGGCACGAACGGGGCTTGTACCGGTCGAGCTTGCTTGGCAACTGAGTCTACCAGATTGCCCCGAGAGATGACAAAGTCAATCTGAGTTCCAAGCCGATCCTCTGCAGCATTAGGTGGGAGAAAGGTCCTCGCGGGGACACCCCCCTGGGACCATGTGTTGAGTACGCAGCAGCGATGCACTCGAAGAACATCGATCAGTTCTCCTTGATCTGGGTGAGGTTCTTGGCTTTGTAGACATCCTGGTCCACATGTGGGAGGGTCTTCCCGGAGAGACTGGTTCAGGTCACCGACTACTATGCAGCCGTGCCTTTGAGGAGTCGCTCGTAGCCACCGGTCCAGTAGTTCCCAGATTCGCCTGCGTAGCTTCAGCAGTGCCTCCTGTTTGTTGCCTTTCAGACTCGCCTTCTGGAGGTTCCACGCGTGCTGGTAGAGGCAAAGGCAATCTAGCGGTGTGGCAAGTAACAGTCGCAGGTGAAGGGCACGCCCTGGGATCAAGGCTGCCGTCCGGATCTGATCTGCATTGACCAGACCTGTGCGGACCAGGCACATGATGCCGGATTTATCCGATTCTTCGCTTCCTGCACTGTGAACCACATGCCAATTGATCGCACCTCGGTTCGTGAACTTGGTGGTGTACTCCAAGTCTGCAGGCCAGGCTGTCTCTTGCAAGAAGCAAATGTCCACACCCCGGTTGGCCTCTGCCTCAGCCTGAAGCCATGCGAGCACTTCATAGTACAAGGTATCATTCAGGCCTCCTGTATTCCAGGTCAGCACCTTCAATCTTGGGACCTGTGCCGATCTGGTGAGGGTGCGGCTGCCAGCAGGACCTGATGATGTACTTGGTGGCCTGATTGATGTCGGGCCGCCTTGCTGGAGTTGCCTTAATGAGACTTTCCGACCACGATACCACGTGGAGTGCAATGGGTTGAGCTCTGCACGATGAATAGCTCGTGCATAAGCACGCTTCCTGGGCTGCCGGGCACCTGAGTGGTGCGGGAAGCTGTGGGTGTCGCCACCCGAATGCTTCGCCCTGATGTAAGCTGGAGCTTGCTGTTGATTGGCTCCTGAGTTCCCTGGGTGTTCGGGGAACTCAACCCTCACATCTGCAGTCACTGCTGTAGTTTCAAAGAAGAGACATTGGAAAATGAGAAAGCCGGTGAGTCTCCAAAGTAGATGGCCAAAGTGACTGCCCCGGGACTTGGGACCCGGGCGGCTGCTGCGATGTCGTGGTGCAGGACCGGGAGTAGACAACCTGCTGTTGTATTCGATGTGCTCAGATGAGGGAGATCGTATAGCGGTAGGTAGGCTTGGGAAGTGGCTCATGATCAGTCTGAGGAGGCCGCCCAAGGCAAAAGCAATGTGGCTCAGGAAGAGGACCTGGCCCACCTTCATAATCCTTGGGATCAGGACAAAGTAGCACAGAGCTGATGCAAGACTTGGTCGAGCCACCGGCCACGTTCTGTAGGACCCGCAAGTACTGTACCTGGCCAGTCGTGTCATAGGCAGGCATAAAGTGGGATAAAGACCGCAGCGGCAATGGCAACGGCACCGCTGAGCACAGTTTTCCTCATATCTTCGCCGGTGAAGGGCTGCCAGGCTTCAGCAGATGCCACTCCGTGGCAGAGACAATTGAAGCTCTGCAGGCTTGAGGTGACCACAGGGAGCAAAATCACATCGGGTGATCCCTGTGTCCAATCACACACCGCTGGCCTACTCACGTCTGGTGGGGCGGGCTCGCCTGAGCAGCATGCTAGGTATCCCAGTGCACCGGCAAACCCTCTGAAGCACTGAACAGTGACACACATAAGGTATGCAGCAACACACATAGGGTAAGCAGCCCACTTCCTGGATGGCTTCGCTTTCGGCTTGGTCTTGGCAGATGGAGTAGCCCCAGTCGATGCTGCCGGCAAAGTCAGGGTAGAAGAGCTACCCGGAAGTAGGCCACCGCCCGAGGAGCTCGCCGTAGTAGGGCCATCAGAGTGGCCGTGTCCCAGCCGGTCTGGATCCTCCATGTGGTCGGCCCCAATCGGCGATTGGGTCCTCGTCATCCTCGACTGCTGGCCTTCCCGCCGTGCGAGCACGAGCCTCCTCGATCGGGCCGTCATCGCTGCCACACCAGAGGGCCCACGGGTGGGCCGTTCCACGAGTCGGCAGAGACTGCAGGTGAATCCCCAAGAAGCCCGATCGCAGGGCGTCAGCATCTATGTCTGTCAAGGCTACCTGCACATCATGTCCTTCGCGGATAAGTGCATCTGCTACTGCTCCGGAAATGCGAAATGACAATGCCCTCGCTGCCTGCACCCTTTGCTCCCGCTGCCAACGTTGAACTGGAGGTTCGTTGACTGGAATGGGAGGCGGCGGTCCTCTTGGTGCATCCCAAATCCTTACTTCGCGGGCAGGCCCTGGCACATCAGGAGTGGCATCTGTGTAGTCATCCTCCATGCGAGAGCTAGTGCCGCCACCCGTTCGGGAGTGCATATCGGCCCTCTTGAGGCCCCACGATCCTTGAGCCCACGCAGCACTAGCGGACCAAGACAGTGGTGGAAAGCGACCAGTCCATGCCACTAGGCAGTACAGTCCACAGAATGCATGAGCAGATGTGAAAAACCTGCAAGGGCACATCATGGCAGATCGTGAGGATGGGCCCTGCTCTCGGTGTGTCGCCTTCATGATGCACAGGCCACAGCAGCACACTAATTCCCCTGTAATCGCACCAAGCATAACCAGCGGAACTAAACAGCACCAGAGGGCCTCTGCCAGGCCTGTCGGTCTCGGACGCCAGCTCGCAAGAGGGAGTCGTATGGCTCCATTCCAGGCTCGCCGAATCGAAAACCTAGTCCATGGTGTGCAGAAAGCCATCCTGAAACAGATAAACTGCTTGTAGCATAGCCAAGCCAAATTGACGATCATATCCCAAAGTTCTGTCAAGGACAATGATCCTGCCCTGGCCGTCCAGCAATCTCCAGGCATCAAACCACATTTTGAAGGCCCCCACTGACTCCCAGCGTTCACGGAGCCTAGCTTTACGCCTGCGAGTTTCTGAAAGCTCAAGCCCCAGCCATTGCCACGTGAGTTGGCCCAGCACGCAGTTTTCCACAAAGGTCTCCAGAGCAGAGGGCTGGTGGAGCCTAACAGACCAGCGAGGAATTTTATTGGAGCCATGAACAGGCACCAGTTCCATGGCAGCCAAGGCATCCCCGAATCAAGCCAGGAGAGAAAAGCGCCCTGCACAAGCTTATGACTCAAGTTCGCCCCGCAACCCCACAACCAAACCAAGCCAAGCCCAACCGTCTCCCACAACTCGCTCACGCCGGTTCGTTCGACCGACATCGCAGAGCCGAGATGCTTTACTTACAAACACACATACATACATACATACATACACACACAGACATGCACACATACATACATACATACGTACGTACATATGTACATACATATGTTCATACGTACACGCTATGCTGAACTGCTGAACGATGCTATACTGTGCTTCGCTAGGCTTGTCTGTGCTAAGCAATGCTCTGCCCCGATCCTCTGTACTCTACTTACGCAGTGATGCGCTCCGTTGCGCTGCGCTGTGCTGTGCCGTGCTGGGCTCCCCGCCTTCTGTGCAGTGCTATACCGTGCCAGGCGAGGCGATGCTATACAATGCTCTGCTCTACTTTACTAGACTTTTACTACACTGTACTAGACCGTACTGTGCATACTTTACAGTGCTATACTGTATGACCCCAAGACTGAACCCTGCGGCCCTAAGATCCCTTACTAAGCCTACACTCTGAACCCAAGAACCCTAGACCCAAACTCAATGACCTTACGAGGCCCTGAAAACCTGCAGCCAACAAGTCGAATCCCCACACCCGAGAACTCGAAGGCCTGCTAATAGCTAAGCCCTTAACCCTACACAACCCGAAGCCCTAAACCCTAAACCCACGAATTCCAGAACCCCGAGCTCTCAGCCCGAGCACCCTAAGCCCTGAACCCAAGAACCCTGAGCCCTAAATCCAACAACCCTGAGCCTCAAACAAGAACCTAAGAACCCGAAGCCCTAAACTCTAATCCCAAGAACCCCAGAACCCTTAGCTCTCAGCCCCTAAGCTCTGAATCCAAGAACCCCAAACCTCAAACCCAAGAACCTCAGAAACCGAAGCCCTAAACCCTAAATTCCCCAGAAAGCCCGCCTACATCCAAGAACCCCAAGCCTCAAACCCATGAACCTCAAGAACCCTTGAACCCTGGCTCTCGGCCCGAAACCCAAGAATAAACGTAAGCCCTACAAGCCCTCAGCCCAAGCACCCTAAGCCCTGAACCCAAGAACCCTAAATCCCTAACTCCAAGAACCCCAAGCCTCAAACTCAAGAACCCAAGAACCCGAAGCCCCACAGCCTGAACCCGAGAACCCTTGAACCCTAAGCCCTCCGCACAAAACCCAAGAACAACCTAAGCCCTAGATCCAGGAACCCTGAGCATCAAACGCAACAACTTAAGAACCCGAAGCCCTGAAACCTAAACCCAACAACCCTAAGCCCTCTAAGCGCTAATTCCAGAAACCAAAGGCCCAAACCCAAGAACCCTGAGCTCGGAACCCCAAGCCTCAAACCCGAGAACCTCAAGCCCTAGACCCAAGAACCCCTCTGCGTGACATTACAGGATACTACAGCACACTACAGCGTGACACTGTATATGATTGCTTCTCGATGATCATACTTGGTGGATTCTCTCATGTTGTATGGGAATACTTCATATTGCATGACATTACGTAAAATGAAGTGATATGAGTTTAAAAGACTTGAAAAGGCCTGTTTTCATCTCGCATGATACTGCATGTTGTATCAGGTTGACATCAACTACTACATTCGCCCGAACAGGTCACACTTGTGTTTAGTAAGATTAGTTGAACTATGCTAGTCCATTTTGGTCTATGTTGCACTATGTACTGCATTTTCGTTTGTCCTAGCATCGTAAAGAAAGCCATACTATACTGCAGACTTTTATGTTGCAGTATATTGTGTCGTTTATTCAAGAAACATGTTCGATAGTATAGAGTTCACCGTAGATTAGTTAGAAAATCATACAAACTAATGATGTACTAGATAATGTGTGCTCAAACCATCTCATGTATCACCTGTTATCCCTTAAACATCATACAACCGAAATTGCATGTATATACGCCCGAATTTTGTATCAGTTTTTACACTGTATACTGTCAATTACATATGCATGTCACATGCAAAACCGTACACAGACCAGATTATGTATTGTGTACCTTGCTGACGAATGAAATGTAACATGTACACACGTATACATACATACGTACATAAATACATGCTGATATACACATACATACGTACATACCATTGAATTACATTACATTAACACATACATACACATACATATACATGTGCATACATGCATGTGCAGATGTACATATACTGATGCTTATATACGGATCTTTAAAATCTCTATCACACATTCCGAACGTCAGATACTAGATGTTGTTCATTACACATTGTCTGTTACAGTCCATGTATTTACCTTACATCTTACATATCACGTGTTACGTAATCTAACATGTTGCAACTCAGTATATTGAACCTATCTTAACAATTCATGCTGTCTGTTTTGCTATATGTTATTCTGCTATGTCATACTATCTTTGAATGTACTCTGCTTGTAGTATACGACATTCTAGAACACTGGCTATATGTCGTTGTATTACATTATGCTATACTGCAGCAGCATATAGCATATTATACTACACCATGACGTGTTACATTACATCATGTTCTACCGTATCTGACATATCATACTCGACTATGATTTATTTCACTTCAGAAAATCTGATTACATTATATTCATAGTAAACTGTCTTACATTGCATTCTACTATACTACACTATATCATATTATACTATGTCATATATTATGTTATGTTCTCTTATATTCTATGACATCGTATTATAGTATTAAATCTTTGTTACCTTTTACTTTATCATATGATACTTTATGTACAATGCATTATCGTATAAAAGAAAACACTTTACTCCGCTATGTCATAATATAAAATGATAGCTACAACGGATCATCCCAGCCCCCTCCTCCTCGCCCCCTTCCTCCCTCCCCAACCCCTCCTGTCCCAAATGTCCCCTCACATCCTCGGCGCGTCCTCCCGTTTGTTCCCAAGCCACTGCGATATTCAGGTTTTCGGGAGGATACCCCGACGCGACAGACGACTCAGACATATCGTTCGTGACTTGACACCTACACAGGGTTCTGACGCCAAACGGCCGTCTGGTGCCAGAAATGATTGGCCGCAGCTTCGGGAGGCGTTTTCGCAGCTTGACAGGCTATGATTCTGTTTGTATGTTCTTTGATATTTACATGTATGTATTTTCCATGCGGGTTGACTATATATATATATAACGTGTGCATCTATGCTGGCCATCCCCAAGCAGAACAAACGAGAAAATAAATACGCACCTGAAACATATCAGTAGCCTATCTCAACAGAAACTGAGTTGACAACAGATCCCACCCCCCAAAGTACCACAGACATGTACCCGACAGCCGCTCGAAATTCCAACACGAGACCCTTTGTCTTATCTAATATAAATATACATTTATATATATATATATATATATATACAGACAGAACACGCATGTGTGCTCCATTTCGACTCGTGATTCGAGCTTCCTCCCCAAGGTTGCGGATAGCAACTCGAAGTCGTTGTCACGTGCCCTCGCCCTCAAGGCACGATTGGCCAGCCCCAGGTTTCTGCCGCTCAAGTCAAGCATCGCAATAGTTCTGGAGTGGTGATCGAATTATGCATAAAAACGGACTGGGGTCCATGGTCGGGTTCCGATATGGAGTACATAGCAAAGAGCAAAGAGGCATTTCCACAGCACCAGATTCTCCGGAGCCTTTCGTCCCATTATTCAGCATTCTAGGAATGAAAGCGCTGTGCTTGTCTGCTCTATATGTATATATATATATATATGTATATATATATATATATTTCTTATTTATTTAGTTATATATATATATATATATACAGATACATGTATTGTTTTCTGCAATTGCATGCTGCAGGGATCCTGTGTCGGGCTGCCTTGCCACCCCTTGCCAACCTAGGAAACCCAGAACTGGGGCACCTGCAAACACTGGGAGCAGATTCGGATAGTCAGGCAGCACATGCACAAGAGCAGATAATCCAACCTGACAAATGCAGAGTCCCATAGGACCGCAGCCCTGGTACATGTCACAATGCAGCGTTAACCGAGGACCAGAGCCTGCAGCACGTTCTTGGAGTTGCTAACAACAAAAAGACGGCTGACGATGGACAGGATCTCTTCGATGACGACATCCACACTTGCCTGATGCATGGCGTTGTGGGCCTAGCTCTGCAAAGTTAAAGAACTGGACTGGAGCACTGTGCCGCCTCTGCACCTTCTTCGAGTCTGCTGGCACCACCTTTTGAGCAACGCTAGGTGTGGGTGCCAACAAGTAGCAACGCATGCAAGGAGCAGCTGTCTTGCTTTCAGCGGCCGGCTTGCGCTGCCATCATCTTCTGCTCCAACCACGGTTTGGCCCCCTGGGTAAGAAGGCACTGAGCTTGCAAAAAAACTCCGAAACTCGTAGTGCACTGCCCCTGAGGTCCGTGCGCTCGGTGGAGAGCTTACCCAGCAGCTTGGCCGACAATCGCAGCAGCTGGGCCTGCACCTCACTCAGCTCCGCTTGGAATGGAACTGCTTGTGAAACATCTCCTGCCTCCCACCACTCATCGTTGGCGAGAGCAGAAAAGTGCTGCAGCAGAGCCACGACCTCACGAGTAAAACCAACTACCGCAGTCTCCACCCGCCGCTTTCTGGCACAGTCATTGGACCGGGGCCGGCTGATGCTGTGAAGACCACCCTGTGACGCTGCAAATGATCGCCAGGCCGGCCACCCGAACCCTGCGTCAGACGCTTGATCGTGAGCGAGCATCTCTGCCAAAAGAGTCTCGATGGGAAGCCAGACCTGCCTGGGCTTAGGGCTTTGTATCGCCATTAAAGCCTGAATTGTCAAGAATCGTGGCATTTCCGGCAGCAAGAGCCAGACAAAGCCGCTAGAGACTTGGAAGGTCTGGCAATTTTGTAAATACATTCCATGCTTGGGGCCCTGCATAGTATATGTACAAGTCCAGAAGATGCTCGTCCAGAAGACCAGCTTGACCATCTAGATTGATCAAGCTGGCCAGGCCTTGGCTGTGGAACAAGACGCATCTGCCAAAAGCAGGCTAGGCGCGTGCACTCCAACCCAAGCAGGCATCTCTGTACAGGCACATTCGCGAGGAAGTATTCAAAAGGTGCGTGCGGAGTCCGGGCAGGTGCCTCGCTGTCGCATTCCGCAGGTCGGATTTCGTCTGGCTTGTGGTTTTCTCAGAGTTAGCTCACGAGACTGGCGCCCAAGCATCGTTTCTCTCGCCATTGCTTTGCAAGCTGCACTGTTTCGGCTTACTTTTGAGAATCAAATCCTCGTCTTCTCCGTCTGGCCTCAACACATGGTTGTGGCAGCGAGGCGCCGGCAGAAGTTCTCGGACACAACAGCATTTCCGGCCATCGGGGGGGCACTTCGAGCAGCTCCGCAAGCAAGAGAGGACCCCGTCCAATTTTTATACAAAAATTCAGGCGGTGGCTTCGAGGAAGTGCCACTGTCACAACATTTCAAACTCTCAGGACCTGACATGGCACATACACTGCTAGGTCGTCGCCCACCTGAGCCATAACTCAGCACAAGTCACAACGCCTCCAGAAGCTACAAGCCGTGCCCGCCTTCTCTTTCAGTGCACGCAATGTCAGGATGTGGTTCAGAGTGTCCTGACTTGTATGAGCTTCAAGCTTCGATTCGGAAATGTGTGGGTGCGCTTGCAGAATGTCCTCTTGAACGAAGGCATAAACTACATCGCACAACAGATCTCGCTTCTCGGGAGATCGTGCCAATTCCTGGCAGGACGTCTTGCAACTAGAGCAGAACGGCCTGCAAGATTTCTACTTATAGTCATGGTTTCTCAATGCTTCCCATTCATCTGGACCAGCAACTTTGGCAACTCGACCGTGTAATGTGCAGGTCTGCGATGCTCGTGTCACAGTCCTCTGTCCAGAGATGTTGGATACTGCCAACGTGGACTCGTGACACAGTCGACTGTTTCCCGGATGGCAGGTGCACGCGGACCGAGCAAGAGCAATGTTGAGTTGAGCAGGACCGAGCTCAGGAAGCTCGCTCAGAAACAAAAGTTTGTCAGCGTCAGACTTGATGAAGCAGTTGAGAACCACAATTGTGTGGAGTAAAGTCTCCCGTTTCACTGGCATCTTCGAAACACTATCTGACCAGCCTTGGCCAGTGAAGCCAGCGCAACATCCGTCATCATTTGCTGGGTCCTAGGCAACCAGGTCTGTTCAGCTTTGCCGAGCCTGTCAACACGACCACAAGCACCCAGCACGCAGCCGGAACCCATGTTCAGCGAAAACTCGTCTGTTCTGAGACCACGGCAGCTGGGCATCTTGCTCGCGCATGAGTTCACCCAGCCTTCCAGTCGGTCAAAACTTGCCGTCGCCAGATGCACTGAGGCCGGGCCGCCTCCTGAAAAAGTACAAAGCACTCTCGAAGATCGGGCTGGACCTGCACCATCCCATTCATCGCGAGGAAGTCGCATCAGATGAAAACGAACAGATCATCAAGACCGAAGTTCAGGCCACGACTCTGAAAAATCCGCAAGTGCTGGGTAGAAGGTTGTCCAAACCTGCTACTGCCATCACACCATCAAAAACGATGTGCTGGGAAGCTCGAGACCTTCCAAAACTCCGGTGGTGACTTTGTCAATGAATCCACCTGGACAAAGGCAAAGATGCGAGGCAGAAAACGCTACGCTCCTGCCGATGTCCCGCCAGCAGTTCCGCACGTTTTGCCAGTGTCTCGAAGACTCGAACTGAGGTTTCCTGGTCACCAGACACACTCACTCTGCAGCAAGCTTATGCCCGTTGCATCAAAGGTGCCTCAATCTCGCGCATCCGCAGCTCCAAGGGTGGAGCCGAAAGTCCATTCCTGACGAGGGCTGAGGATCAGAAGCAAGTTCCGTCTAGACTGAACAGTAGCTTCCAGCGTCTTCAATGGCCAGCTTTGTATAGCTTGTATGAGGTCCACACACGTCTCGATGGAAATCTCGGCCAGGGGCCTCTGTGGTGTCAGGGTCCGTTTGGAGGGGGGTTGGGCAGGCAGGAAGGCAGGGAGGTACCGAAGGCAAGTAGGCAGGGAGGTAGGAAGGCAAGTGGTGGCGATCAGGCTAGATAACCGTCATGTTTGCGACTTAATCTGCGGAAAGTTCACATTTCACGATTAGCGGCATGTCGTGTCTGTGCGAGCCCCTGGCATCTCTTACACCCTCTCTGCATTGCTCCATGAAGGCAACGACAATGTCCTGCACTGGCAGGGCTGCAGGGCCTCCACATCACAACCTGCGGAGGTCGGTCAGTGGACAAGCACTGGTCAGACTGCTCCTCCTTCTTGGTGTCAATCATCCTCGAGAACTCCTGGCCACCACCAGACTGTCGTGCCCGCTTGCAGCAGCATTGCGCAAAACGACCAATCAATCCTCAGACTCTTGGATGATGGAGAAAACCAGCGGTCGCATAATCTCGGTAGCCTTAGCACATCGAGTCGTGGCTTAGGTCGGCTTGCGACATGCTGCTGAAGAATCGCAATCACGAAGTTGCTGCACACCACCAGGTGCCAAGCTGGCTTGGCAATCGCCTGGTTCTGCCTGCAGACTGCAAGGGAGGCGAGGCAGGCGAGGCAGGCGAGGGAGGCGGAGTTGAGTCGAGGACTGCAGGCCGGCCAGCGCCGCACAGCAGGCCTGAGGGCTGCTCACTGCCTGACACGCAGTGAACTCTCTCGGAGAGCTGCCTGCTGCCTCTTCTGAACTTCTTTTCTGGGCACACCTTCAGCAGAGAGTTCCGGCTCGAGGTCGCAACGGGAGGTGGCGGCTCCTGGTTCCTGGCCAGGTAGCAGTGCTCGATGGCAATGTGAACCGTGGATCTCATGCCGACTGAGGAGGGCTAGGATTCCACGATGCCTGTAAGAAGCAGCAACCATAACCTAACCGTGCCAGACGGACTTCTCATCGGTCTTTCGAAGCTGAGCACTTCCCGTCTGGAGTGCTTTCACCTGATACTGCACGGCAGTTTCTTTAACTACAGACATGACAAACTCAGTAGGCAGGACGGCGTACCTTCACCTCGTCAACTACAACGGAGTCCGTCTGTTCCCTGTCGTGGCTTTGATCCTCCTGTCGGAAACAGGAGGAGGGTAGCAGTGTGAAGGGCACACATAAAACATGCTTGTCTGTTGGACGTAAAGCAAAAGCAATAGCACATTTTTGAGCCGCACTTCACACGACTGTCACAGGCCCATCGTCTGAATTAGTAGTACCTCCAGTTTGCAGGTAGACACATAACAGTACGGTGAAAGACTCACAGATCAATGCTTCCGGAGCACGAATAAGACTTGCAGTGAGGAGTGGCGCGATCTTGGCAGAACAAGCCAAAATCTCCCGGATACCTTGTGCAGGCTGTCCCCTCGTTTACTTTGGCTTGCAGGGCAGGTGATCAAGGACAGCTAACATCAGCAAGGCCACCCATCAGGACAGCGACGAGGGAAGAGGACATCCTGCCGACGTTCACCAGCTTGGAACCGAGTTGCAGAAGCACAGACACTCCTACTCGCGGCCACCTACCAATGCGTGGGCTTTTTCAACAGCAGATGAACGTCACAGGGTCCTGATCTTTGAAGGCCTTGCTGTGCCGCAAGGAAACTTCTGGGAGCATGATGGACCATGGGTGCCCAACACGACTGGTAGAGGCAAGTCGCCGGAAACATCGAGTCCGCTGGCAGCTCCGGACCTGTTGCAAGGCAGTCGAGATCCAGGCAGGCGCTTACAACTGTTGCGAATACCTCTCGGCACCCGACGTGCAAAACCCCGGCCGAGAAGCATCTTGGCTCCACCTGGAGACCTCGACTCCAAAGTAACGTTCGAGCAAGTGTACCATGGGTCGAATGCCAAGCCACACGAGGTAGGCGTGTGCGCAGGATGGATCGCACCTTGACTCTTTTCTTATAGCTGCACTTTTGGAGCGTTGAACGGCGTCGCGCCGCCTCTCGTAAGCACAAACGACAGACAAAAAGAAGTGCTGAAAATCATTGCCGCAGCAACCATCCGGCCATCGCGAAGTCACGTTCTCTTGCAGACTGAAGCATCTCCTCAGTGGATTCCCGAGGCAGAAGGCAGCCTGTTCTGCCTGTCCCGAAACACGAAACGAAGGGCCGTTGTCCTTGGCAGACTCTGCAGCTACATCGCCATTCAGCCTGGCATCGTCCTAGGCTGGACACCAGTGACAATATTTCCGAGAAGCCGCAAGCGCGGTTGAGCACGACACTTCCAGGACGAGAGCTTCCGCATTTCCAGAGCTTATCTGCTTCAGGATGCCGCGGTGTGCGAACACCAAGGAACACCTCGGCTTCATGGATAAGGACAAACTCGCACACCTTTGCACCTTTACGGCCTCGCCGGTTTAGGAAGATCTCAGAGCCGAAGGCATGGATCATGGAACTGCAAAGTTGGAGTCCGACTAGGATGCAGGCGAGAGTAGTTGCTCGAATTTTGAGAGGTACTGCAGGCAACTGCTGCATCAACCTCCTGAAAATCCGAAATGGAGTTTAGGGTTTAAGCTTCTGGCGTCATGTAGGCTTTAGGGCGTAAACGGTTGAGGATTCGGAGAATTCTCCGATCACGAACATCATGACCGAACCTTCCCCCTCGGCAACGCCATCGTCGTGACAGTAGTGTTTGTTGGGGTCTTGAACCGCGAGGACGACCCTTCTGCAGGCACGTGAAGTCATTGCTTCTGGAGCTACAACGCACTGCCTCCGAAGCCACCATTTCTTGTCATGAACCGAACTGATCTGCTTCAAATCTCTCGGTGGAGCCCAAGCTCGCCACAAGTCTCGTTCAGTGGCGGTCGTTCTGACGATTTTGGAGTTGTACTTAGCATGAAAGTTTCATGCTAGTGCAGTCTTTACGGGTTTAGGGTTTGTCTTGTTCTGACTGACTGTCGTGTATCCGGGTTACGGGTTCAGGCGTTTTACGGTGTGGGTTCCATTTATACCCGTCAAGCCCCTCAAGTAGATCATCAGCAACTCTCGATGCCGCATCATGTTCGTTCGAGGCGCTCAAATGATCGCAGAGGCGTGCTGTCGACGCAATTCAAGACTTCTTCACTGCTTAGCTTCGGAGGCGTCACACGCTCACAATCCTCAGGTCAGCCAGCATTGCAGGCGCTTGGCCCCTTCAGCACGACACTTCAGGTTGGAGAGGCTGACAAATTTCGTTCTCTGCTGAGCGGAAAGCCTTCTTTATGATAGAAAGCCGTACGAGTACTCAGGTGTAGCAGCCGACTACCAGGCAAAACCATTCAGCTCAGCCGAGCAGCCAAATCCAGCTGGGCACACGTACTCTCCAGACCGCTCCTTCGCCCATCATCTAAGTCCGTGTTGATGTAGTACGCCTGAGCGCAATTGCTGCGACAGAAGATGCCAGAATTCTGGAAGGGAGCGAACTAGCTGCAGTGATCCGGCCGCCTTCAGCTTCTGTCGCCCTTCACCGAAGGCTGTTTCACTCCAGTTTTCACTCCTGCACAGATCTCAGCTCAATAAGATAAGACATCTGTCGATCGCGCTTTCTCTCTGCGACAGAAAGGTGTTGGTGCCGGAAAATGAAAAGTTGAGATTCCGCGACAAGGGTTTACAATTTGTACAATGGTCTTTTCCTTACAACTCTTATAAATCCATGGGCTCGCCTAGCTTTCCTGACAACATGTAGTGGCACTTTTCACATTATCCCTTCAATAATCTTTGCAGGCCATCGGTCCCGCGCAACGTGGCAGCCCACATGTCGTGTTCCTCGCCACTCAAGGTCGAGCTCACCGTGCTACCTAAGCCGTCGCTATAATGTGTTTCATAAAGAAGCACTGACATCTCCGAGGGGCACAAATGACACAGGCGGAACCGAGGCGCCTGTAAGCACGCCGGATCTCCAGGCTGTAGACTGCACGCAGTCTCGCCGCGTCCCTGCTCTTGGAGCACGGGCCGTGTATGGTCGCATGCAAGGTGAACGGTAGAATATCTGAGTAATTGCGGGAAGGTTAGAGCAGTCAGAGCATTGAGGAGGATCGGTGGTCTAGGTCTGCAAGGAAGCGAAATGCCGCCGACGCTCCTTCACCTCCCTTACAAAGCTCCGCCTGTGCCCACACCCTTCTGTCCGTTGGTCTTTGCGAGATCTTGCAGACGGCAGAACATACGCGGAACAGACGGAACAGGCATGCATTCTGAAAGGCCATTGTGGAATAGCAGATATTGCACTTCATCCCAGGCTCGAGTACCGTTGGGGTAGGTAAATGCCGGGAATCTACAGAAGCCGTGTTCAGACAACATTGCCCAGCCTGTAAAAGTCGTGAAGCACAGCTCGTACCTGCAGGCAACGGAGATCCCATCGCTACAACTTATTACTTCCGCACGGGTTGGTTCCTTCTGGTAGCACACACACACAAACACAGGTTCCAGGTCTATCTACCTCAAAAACTTGCACAGCGGATTGCCCTGCAAAGCGTGCTTGAACAAATTGCATCTGAGATAGTCTGAGTCCCCAGCCCAGAGAACAGGACAAGTGCAGCAAGAAGAAGCAGCTTCGTTAGCTTCGCACGTCCGCGCAGCTCCATGGCCAAGGACAGGCATGTGCACTGAATGCATAGCCGCTGTATACACTGCATATCGGCGGGAGCTTGCTCTTTTGTTGACTCGCTTTTCACATGCATCAGCTTTGACTCGCGGCCGTCTTGGATAGACAGAGATGTGAGGAAAGACGCGCGGAAAGGCAGCCGGGGCCCTGGTGAAGCATCTCTCCTGTGACAGACCCATCCGCAGTCTTCGTTCTTGCCTGATCAGCGCAGGAGCCTCGGAAGAACAGCAGTAACGCGAGCTCTCAGCCCGTCACAAGGAAACGAGCGCCTCCGTGGCTTTGATCGCTCGCCGCTCCTTGCACTGTTCAAGGTCAGACACACACACACACACACACTGCCATGCCATGTGTCAGATCTGAAATCCTGGTGGAAAACACCGAGCGTGTCAATGGCGATGATGGTTCTTTCCACCTGTGCATGATTCTGGCCCCGGCAGATGCAAGCATGCAAGCATGAAGGATGGCTGAGAGCTCGGGGATGCACATTGTCCTGGATCCGGGATATCTCTGGATCCTTCAGACGCTTGGAAGCCGTGTCCTGCCAAGGTCCGCAGGTACAAGAAAGGTACATCACAAAGCTAGCTGATTGAAACGAAGATGAGTCAAAACATCCAACAAGAACCCAGTCCCGCATAAAGGACGGCAGCTCATGCTGGTTGTTAACCAGCTCCTTCCACATCAAGGTTAAAAGCAGGACTGCACTCCCCAGAAGCTGCCCCAGACCTGGATGGGAGAGTGCGCCTGCACCTGGTGGTGAAGCGGCTGGAGCATTCTTCGTGGTCGTCGGCACCGAGGCAACTCCCATTTTTGATGCAGCAACGACGCGTGAGTCTTTCTATGCTGCTTTCGCCCATCATCAAGTACGGGTAGCATGGCATCTCGGCTTCAGGACACTACGCAAGTACCGGCAGTTTGTCGCTGTGCGGGCGGATGGGCAGGCTGACTTTGGCGAGATCTGCCTCTGCTCAAGCACAACATTGCGAGCTCGGCATAAAAATTGCGATTTGACCAAAGGCCCTCCGGATCTTCAAAGCCCGGGAATGTGTCGGAAGACACGTCGCGAACGGGCAGATGCGAGAGCAAGTTGACATCAAAGTAGAGGCGCTTGCCCTCGATGAGAAGGAACTCCACCGATCCGCAATCGGCTTTCGCAACCTGGGAAAGGATCCGGACTGCCTCTGCGGCCTCCTCCTCCGTCGGAGTGTAGGCGAAGAAACGGAGCGGGGACGAAGCGGTCTTGTTGGCTGAGCAGGCACAGGTAGAAGTAACTGCTCCGGCGGCTCCGGCGGCTCCGGGTCCGGACTCGTCCCGTGGCACAACTTTGATGGCACACTGGAACTTGCCATCGAGGACGAAAACCCGAAAGTACTGTCCAAGGTCTGGAGCACAGAACTTTTGCAGGAATCCTGTATGGTCGTTTCCTAGCGGGCTCACCTGCGAGGAAGGAGAATTCACGAAGGACTGGACCTGGCTGGCGAAGGCCTCCAGTTCAGCCTTGTCGTTCATCGTCACCACACCTTTCGCATAAGCGGCAGCACAGGGCTTGTACAGCAAGGGGAACTTCCCTTCTGGCTGCGTCAGGAGGGAGAGAGCCTGGCTGCTGTTTGCTGTGAGGCCCAGACCATTGACAAAAGTAGACTCTGGCATTTCCACTCCCGCGAGCCGCAACACTGCGTGGTGCCCGGACTTACTCATCAACAAGGAATATGCCGAGCTGGGATTGATGACTGGAACCCCACGGAGCTCCAGCTGCCTCATAATGACGAGTGCCATCTTGGCCACGGCAGGCTCGGAGGCGTCAGAAACTCGGTTGACTGCTACGTCCCAGGGTGACTGTTCCAATGTGTCGAAATGGCTTTGTCCCCAGTGCTCAATTGCGACAATGTCGACCTCGACTTTCGCAGAATTGCGCTTCTCGAGCTCGGATTTCAGATTTAGGAGCCAAGCTCCTTGCAAATGTCGCTCGGGACTGAGCAATAATGCCCTCATTGCTTCAGCTGCGGGATTATCTATGATATCACCACTGCACACCTTTAGAGTGAAGATTGCTTTGCTAACACCACCTGACGACTGCATGGAAAAGCTCGGGAGCACAAGTGGTTCCCCAAACTCTGGCATGATGATCGCTTCTTGAGAAGAAGTGACACTGTGGCATCAGCAAGATTGACCTCTCTTGCCGTAAAGAATGCCTGATCCCTGCAGTTGCAACTACAGCGATCAACTGATTGAGAACCACACCACACACTTGGTAAGGAATGTGTAGATCTTGTACATGAGCATGACAGCTGCACCTGTTATCGACATGCAACACAGTCTTTGCTAAGTCAGCTGCGACGAAACCGCACGAGACGAATGCGCGTGGAGCAGGCTGTGCAAGAAGTAGCTGCAGTTGACAATGACTGTACTTTTCGGCTGAAGCACACGCGACCGATGGTATGCTGGAGCCAGGATGGCTTGTCATAAACAAGCCAGGCTGCACCCGGTGCACAGTGTATCACTGGATCAAACCTTGAACATTAGCAGCAGCTGTCGTCAATCTGACCAACAGCTACTCACGGAAATGGTGAGGCCGCAGCTCTGCCTTGGAGATGCCTAGTACTAGTGACACAGGCATCAGGGCAGTGTCGTATTTCCAATTGTCATCCTACAGTGCGCGCCTATGCCCTTCCTTTTGAAGAACTTGTACAACTGCTCCCAATTGTCGACCTGTTGAACGTCGCAAGAAGAAATCCTGAATTTCCAAGAACCTTGACACCGCCACAATTGCGAAAGGGTGAGGGATCCCCACCTTTGCTTCCAACCTGGAGCCATTTTCGTACATGTTCATGTCCACATCCTTTGCAAGACCGAAAAGACTGAGTCGGACCACATGCAAGTTCATGCAATGGACTTCGCAAGGAAACACGCAAGATTGCCGGCAGTGTCCTGAGGATGATAGCGGGACAAGATTTCCGCCACAATGTAACCTGGCCGCCCAATGCTTTGCAAGATAGGTCGTCGGTGCCACTACTAAGAGCCAAGTGAAGAAATCTGCGAAGAGCCACCGTTGCTCAGATCCCGTTTTGGGTTCTTGATGCCTGCACCAGAACCAGACATCAGCAAAAACTCGGGGATCAAATTCACAACTCTGGCTGAAAACGCATGGTGCCAAGGATGCTGCTGAACGAAAGATCCAAACTTTGAAGCCATTTTATTATCTCGCGAGGGAGAGGCGCGCACCTCAGCAACGACAGACAAGAAAACTGCCTGTGATTGCAGTTCATACCAGCTGCAGTGGAGATAGGGCTTGGACGCCATTGCAAATGCTGTCGGTGTCTCTGTCAATACCAAGACTGAAATCTACACTGAGCTGATCATCTTGGCCACAGCCTGAAACCATCTTAAACCCAGTAGAGGCGTGCAGCTTCGGTTCATCAAGTGCTTCTTCCCGACCGGTATCCATTCATCATCACGTCCCTTGAGTACCAATCTGTCCACAAAGCTTTGGTATGAGCCAGCATACAAGCAGGTGCAGTTCTCAAGAGACTGTGAGATGAGGGGGTTACGACCGGGACTGCACCCCTGCAATAAGCATGAGAAGCCTTCTTTTCACTTCTTTCGAAACTCTCTCTTGTACCTAATTGGTGAATCCACCGCCACCCCGAGAGGATTCTACACATCGACCTGGTCCGCGACCGCCACTGGCAGACACTCCACTGCCATTTCAACACAATTGACGGTGACACTACAGCATCGATGTCCCTGAAACATCCATCGATGTGTCAAACCGCACAAGCCCATCGACATCGGATAATGACGTCAGTGACGTCATCAGCTTGTGCATGCTGATAAGCGAGGCATCTGTCAACATTCCACAATGGTCCTGAAAGACCGTAAATGTTCGAAGAAGATCAACAAGTGACCTCGACGATCCCAAATACTGCTTTAGAGCGCGGCTCGCATGTTGCGAACCCTGCGCCAGCCATGCGAGAAGAAGCCCACCAATAGCAAAGTTGATTTGAACTTCGGCATGTTCCTCACTGGTGCATGAACTGAGAACGAAGCTGGCGAAGACCCGTGCCAAAGAGGCTGCGAAGCTGCAACATGCATCATCATTACTGTCTCCGAGATGCTCTGCCAGCTCAGCTCCAAGCCCCCGGCTTAACTGCCGCCAATAGGAGTTCTCCACATGAAACTTGCTGAGTGTCTCACAAAGCTCGCGACTGGTCGAAGAAGCGGCAGCAAGAGTGCCAACAATCAATCGGACAGCAGCCCCCGTGTTTTTCCCAATCAAGTCTACAAGAAAGAAGAGAAGGGAGTCTCGGTTGGAGCAAGGAGGGCTTCTCAACATATCCGAGAATTGTGGCTCCGAGCCCAACGCGTGAAGGGCCTTCAGAACCACGTTTCGCAGATGTGACAGGCTGTCATCACTGGACACCATGCAATGATGCAATATGGGGCAAGCAGCCTTCACAAGTTCTTCGCAGTGCTGCTGACCACAGGCGCTCACTCGCAAACAGAGGCCGCAGGTTTCCCACAGCAAAGCCAGACGTTCAACTCCGGCATGGCCAGCGTCAGCTGTCCATGCACTGGTGGCATTCTTGAGGCACCCAACCAACCGTCTGCACATCATGCCAAGCAAAGCGCCGCGTGATGACGTCGACGAAAGGCTGGACAGCAACCTGCCGCACCCACAATGAGACTGCTCTGTGAAGAACAGCTGCACCTGCCTGCGAAGCACCAACAAGGAGACGTCGCCAGCAACGGTCTCGGAACCGCCTGCTCCACAAGGCGCCCCCGCATTGTTGCGAGCGGAACGGCTGCTCGATGAGTACAGTACATAAATCGCAATGAAATTTGAGTCTACCAGGATCCGAATGTCTTGGCTTCTGACAGACGGAACCTCCAACAGCTCCAGGCAGAAGGTCGCCGTCCTGCGCCATGGAGCAGTTTTGATTTTGGAAGATTTCCGCAGCGTCGCCGGTCTGCGTGGATTCATGACGAACGTGCCTTTTTCTGAGAAGCGCTGGTTCAGTCTCGCTGACTGGACCAGGCAGACGCTGGCGCAGGTGAAAACAACACCGAAGTGCTTATGTCGCGCGCTGCAAGCTATAGCAACTCGTCGTCTGACCACGCCCCTTCTGAGAGAACCAGGCCGCTTGCTGCAAGCTCTCGACTGAAGGCGAGGTACCTGAGGATCCAAAAACATGGGACCCAACCTAAGCTTGTCTAAGGGCATGCTTTCTGCGTCTGCAAACCGAGCGGCCCCTCCGAAGTAGCACCCTTGGGAAGCACAATGTCGTTCCCTCACGAGGTGAAGTGGAGACAGTGGCTTCGAAAAGTTGACACTTCATGCCCGGCCTTGGGATAAACGTTGAAAGATCTCCTGCCTGCCCTGCAAGTCATCGGACTTTACGGTCAATAACTCCTCCAACCATGAGGCGGCATCAAATTCATAGGCTTGGCGCCTGCATTTACAATGTCCAGTCAAAATCTTCCTGTCCTGCAAGGTTGCTCCTGCTCCGTGCCCGATGAGGGCAGAGACTTCCATTTCCCCCAGGCGCAGGCCACCACCCCTGCTGCCTCGGAATTTCGTCACTCGACGGACTTGCCCCAGCCGCTTTGGCCTCAGGTCCTTTGGAATGCGGCGAAGCTGCGTCCCTTAATTGGCTGCTGTGTAATGACCTTGTGAACGCCAGCTGGGGCAAAGAAATCTAAACAGGAGACTGCACATGAACATGTTCACCATGGCCCAGTCACGTGGTACCCTCCGCCACGGCCGTTGCCATGTCGCGAGCCTTTCGACGGTCGTGCGTGTATCTTATCCTTGGGTACAATTGGAACTGCACACCCTGCAGGTTCAGGAGTGTCGACAAAGTCAGACCAGCCAGTACAGCTAAGCCCTCGTCGCGGAGCTAGTCTGCCATGGACGAAAAAGCCTGAACCGATGCTTGCAGCAAAGAGTCACGCACCATGTGGCAGAGCTTGATGATGTACCTTCGAGGCGGAAACGACACAGGTACACTCTCACATCTCTTAGCTCCATTCCACAAACCTGCAAAGCTACACAAAACAAATACAGCATGCCTTCTTTCCTTCCTCACAGTATGCAAGGCGGCCATCTGCGACCGGGAATCGAGATTCCGGCCGTGACAGGAGTGTCGAGGGGCCTCCCAGTCCTGCCATCATATACCTGTCACAGGTGGCCCGATCGGATACTTCAAACCCTGCATGGTCCAAATTAGGACACGAGACAAGCATCTCCCAAACCGGGTGCTCATGCGCAAGCAGCTTCCCTCTCGCCACAAGTCAATGCCTTCTGAATACGAAAATCAATCGGGATCTTGCTCAATGAACCAAAGCTGCAAGCCTGGATTCCTGCATCCTGCCCTGCTTCATTCCCAGGTCTGAGAACTGTCAAGACCACATGCAACACAACACAGCAGATTGTAACCCCCGCTGTCGTCCAAAATTTGCAAGCAGTGGACACGAGTCTTGCCCGGTGATGCAGCATCCAACAACCACTTGTTGCCCGAGCCGAGTTGTGCCCGTCGCATGGCTTCGAAGACCAAACCTCGGCACAAAGGTACGGGCAATCAGGAAGCCTCGCAATTCGTGGAAGAAACTCCGCTAACTCCGAGCTCCCAACCGCGTGAAGCTTCCTCTGCAAACATCTCATCGAAAGATCCAACTCGGTACTCTTCACCGTTCCATCTCCCCGCACTGCCGAGAATGTTCTCAAAAATCTGCCCGACGTTCATTCGAGATGGAACGCCCAAAGGGTTCAAGCAAACGTCCACAGGAGTGCCGTCTGGCAAGTAAGGCATATCCTGAACCGGCACTATTTTTGATACAATTCCCTTGTTTCCATGCCGACCAGAGAGCTTGTCCCCGACCTGTATCCGACAGAAAACGGCGAGCATCACCTTTGCAACCTGCACCTTCGTGACCTTACCAAACTTCACGGTCTCCGTGTGCCAGACGCTGGAATCAATCACTCGGCCCTGAATGTCGTCTGGAACCAAAACCATTCTTGGCTTCGGCATCTCTGGCGGTTCGCCCGTGTTCGGCAACCCGCCCATGTCCGGCGGTTCACCCATGTCCGGCAGTTCGCCCGTGTCCGGCAGTTCGCCCGTGTCCGGCAACCCACCCATCTCCGGCGGTTCGCCCGTGTCCGGCAGTTCGCCCATGTCGGGCAGTTCGCCTATGTCCGGCAGTTCGCCCGCATTGTTCGCGTTGTTCACGTGCGCGCAAATCGCCACATCCCCGCCTTTTAGCCATGCACCCTCACGGGCCATGCCATTGGACATGTAGTCGTAGTCCCTGTAGTCCCCGTCCCTGGACCCGTCTGGATTTCTAAGCACATGGTCTTCGTCAAGCTCGAAGGTCAGCTCTTCGATGTGAACGGAGGTCAAGATATCTTCACGAACACATCTCTCAGAAATGACAATGGCATCCTCATAGTTGTAGCCCTCATAAGGCATGTATGCAACAACGAGGTTCTTGCCAAGGGCTAGCTCTCCACCAGCAATACCTTGTCCTTCAGCAATGATATCCCCTGAGCAAACTGCCTCATTCGCACGGACAGTAACGGTGTCATGGGCCAAAGTATGTTTTTTTGTGGAAGCACAGTCTGTTATTAGGTGATGCATCATCTGAGTGTGAATGCAATATTCCGTTTCCACCCAGCCAGATGGAAGAGGCGCTTCCTCCTGAACACCCTCTGGAAGCATGAAGGAGAATCGTGATGGATTGATCCCAGCCCTGACAGACCAGTCATGCAATCTCTGCTGGATCTTCTGATCGTTGTTTGGTGTGGAAACAGCTACATCATTGTATAGCTTCTGAAGCTGAGCGTAAGGAAGACGTGTGCAAAGCTCGCAGAAATCGTCAAATCGAATCCACTGGCTCAGTTGCGCCCCGTCGAGATAATGTGCACGAAGACTTTGCCGCATGTTCTGGACCTGCTCCCTGATCTGAACAATACCAGTACAGGAAACGGTAACTACCTTGGCCGCGTCGCAGTAAAGAACATGTCCATCAATGCCCGCAAATGTCGTCCGTGCACTGTATGTGGCAACCTGCGCTTCCATGCCGCTGCCCACGACCGGGCGCTCCGGCCAAAGTGTTGGCACTGCTTGCTGCTGATGCTTCGCCCCCATCAGGGCTCGGTTAGCATCGTCGTGCTCGACGAAAGGTATCAAACCAACAGCCACGGAGATTGGAGCCCCACAAGCGACATACTCAACCTGAGCTGGTGAACATGACCCGAACAGACCAAGATGCGTCATTGTGACACTTTCTGGTGTTTTCAAGGTGTCAGGTGTAGCTGTAGCGGAGACTCTTTCGCCTCCCCTTTCTGGTCTCTGCGGTGCCAGCAAGGTTCCATCTGCTGCATGGGCCACATCGAACTGAGCCACTCGATGGCTGAATTGGTCCTGTGCCAGTAAATACTTCCAAGGTTGACTCAGGTGCTGCACTCCCTGTGAAACTACCTGGTGGGGTGCCTCCAACTCTCCGTCAGATGTAACGCGAGTGTTTGAGGCCATTGCCATAACAATTCCTGCGCTCATGCCTTCACCTGTTTCAATAGGGCAGATGCGCCCATAGTGGCTTGGGTGAATTAGACGGATGCCCTGTATTCTCTTGATCTTGTCCAGTCCCAGCTCACTTACCTGAGTGATCCGACGAGCTTGCACGACCTCCGAAAGAGGATTGACGGATTCGAAGAGTTGTCTGTTGTTCTCCTTCCAAAGCTGTGCTACACAGAACTTATCCAGTTCGCGAACTTCTCTCTGCTCAGTGCACACAGCTCCAGTGCCCTGCACGGCATCTATCTTGATTGGAAGGCATTCAGCTGCCTGACCAAACTGCAAGAGCCAGTCGCGCACAAGGCCCTGCATCTTCTGGCCAACCGAGCGCAGCCTCTTATTGACCAAAGAATCGATATCATCAACTTGCAACGAATCCTTGCCCAAGAACGAGCCCGCCAGAAGATCGAATGTTGCGAGGAAGTCCTTTGGGGTCAAGTGCTGCTCTGAAACGTCCAGCCCCAGTCGCTCGTTCAAGCGCCGCCTTCCCAAAGGACCAACCCGGCTCGAAAACGACCATGAGGTCTTGAAGCTGAAGGCGGCCACGGGATCACCTTCGAAGTAGTTGTCTGTGTCCAAACCTAAAATGAAGCACAGCTCGTCAGCGGCCAACCAGCAAGCATCATGATCCGGGTTATGCTCTAGAAGATCATGCTCTTCTGTCCAAATGCTCGCTGCATTCCTTGCCCCCTTGATTTCTTCTGGCTTCACACCCAATGCCAAAAGCACCAGACATGCAGGCAAAGGCACATTACTTTTCGGCATGAGGACCTGAAGTGACAGTTTGTCTTCCTCCTTTGGTGCAAGCATGCATCTACATCGAATCCGAGAATACTCCTCCGTGACAAGCTCAATCATGTGCACAGACTCTCCTTGTGTCGTGGTGTCAATGGAGAAGTATGCTCCAGAACTTCGCTCCAGCCGGTGTGCAATCACATAGGGATTTCCTGAAATGACAAGGTTGGCATACTCTGTCAGCATTGGAAAGCTGCCGATCTTCACTTGCACGGTGAACACAAGACCTGTTTCGCAGTCGGTTACTTGCATGGGGACGAAGGCTGTGGCAAGGTATGTTTCACCCCTCATCTCAGCCACATCTGCAGATCCGGAGTTTTGCAGGAAGTAGACACGATCGGCCAATATCTGAGAAGCAAAGCGTTGGCCGTGCAATGTGGTTGGCAACAGATTGGAAAGCCTCACTCCCACAAGTTCGGACGCTGTTTGACTCCTCCCTGCTACTGCGATGCCTCTGAGCTCAGCCTCATGCTTTGATATGAAGACAGTGCTATCTTCGGAGAGCTGCACTCTTCGAGCCATTTTCCCCAGCTCGAAGGGAAACAAATCTTGCAGAAAGTGCTTGAAAGAGTCACGATGAGCCTGCAATAAGTGCAGGCTTGGCTGAGATGGTGGCATGCTCTCCGTCGCCGGTGTCTCTGGTGTGCCAATTTTGTCGTACCAGGTGCCATGGACAAGATGGGGGCTTGCCACATGGCCGGAAGCACCACGCAACACTCTCGTGGTGCATCTCGTGCCCCGCAAGACGCGTCGGCATGCACTGGTAAGAGGTACGAGCAGCAAGCCGGTCGCGGTTCCACTTGCGGCCCTTCCTCGCGTTGCGCTATCAGTGTTCCCAATGAGGCGTCGCTGGCCTGCAATGTGCCGAGACCCCGGATCAGCTCGCAGAGTCACTCCGTGTGTTCCCACCGTTCCCAACTGGAGCATGGCAATCTCTCACATCACACTCAGGCTTCGCTCACATCGAGGTGTAAAATCTAAACCCTGCACTGTTCGGTGGCTTCGGCTTCGCTTGTGCAGACTGCTTCATAGCGATGCTGTAAGCACCTAAAGAGCCGACTGGGCTGCAGCTTCACTGAGGATGTTGCATAGGCGGCAGCCAAGAACACGATTTAGATCGACGAGGAGGACAGACGGCAGTTATGGTCCTCCCCGTACTCTCTGATTCGCTGGACTACGACCTCAACCGCACTGTTGTCATCATTCTTGTTCATGCTCGGCGGCCTCACGACCTGCAACGGACAACCACCACAAAGTTGAGACATAGAGATTAGAGATTCCATAGAAAGGCTCTGCCGTCCCTTAGGAAGTACTGGCTGGCTGCTGACCAGCAACTTTAGTAACATCTTGACTCCAGCAATGAAACTCGCAGGTCCAAGACGAAGCCACTTCTGGGTTGCAGGCCATCTGGCCGGATCTGCGTCGCTTCAGCAAGCCACCTAAAGCTGTCTGCAGGATAACCGCAACTGCCACTAAATTCTAAACTGCGTCACGAGAAAGCTCAGCAGCATTCCTTTTGGGCTTGCTGTCTCTGGCTTGGCTTGGCATCTCAGAACATCTCGTTGCACAGCCTCGAACAAGGGAGAGCAGCAAGCATTGTCTCAGTACCCAGCCGGAGACTGACGTGCAGAGCTTCTGTTGTCTCAGTTCGCGGCGAAATGATGATCTTCGGCTGAGGCTAAAATTTCTTCCAAGGACACCTCCTGAAACGCATGTTTGTCATTTTGCTGCGCGCCTTACTTATTTAGTCCGACAGGAGTGTGTGGGCTGTCCAGAATGTCACAAGCGGCACCGCAATCCGCGCTGAGAGAGTACCAGATTCCTGTGTGCGAGCAGTGAAGCCGCACAAAACCGGAACGGCATCATTGGCATCTAAATTGACGCCAACTACTCGAAAGCCGCTAGCATGCCACAGGCCTCCACGCCAGAAGTCCGCCGCTTTCCTATGTTTGACGTAGAACGTAAGCCGTAGGCTTGGGGCCAAGTGCAATGCTCAGAGCTGCTCAGACCGAGGCGAAGAGCTCGACTCTGACAGACACGAGGCCTGCGTCGAAGGGTTAGGGAAGGACATCTACGCGACTTGCATAGGAGCATGGGGAGCCCTGGGCCCTCCTGCTTCCAGAAAGTGGCCGTCTCTGACAGCAACTTTGGAAGCCATCCACGTGCGCGCAAACATAGTCGAACATCGTGTGATCCGACCTTATCGACTCAAACTCAGTCATAGATGAATTCCTTGATCTCCCACAAGTCACTCGTCATATCTTGGCAACCTGCCAAGCGAAAAATCTCGCAGAGCTTCCTGTGCTTTCGGTGGCATGAAGCACATTCGTCTATCTATGGGCCCAATCCAATGACAAAACCCCCCGAGCCTGAGAGCACCTGGTGGAGAGGATGCTGACAACAGGTAGGTAAGGCGGTCAGCGATCGCCTGGAAACAGGCACAAGGATTCTCGCAGCTAAGCCTCACAACTGCAGTGAAGGTTCCACCTCAGGGTCACGAATACCACTCGAGCCCACGGCTGGCACAGTCGGCGCCTGACCGGTCAGCGCAGCAAGCTGCATGCATACATGCCACCAGGGATCATGAGAGAGAAGCAACTCAAGTGCGACGGCGCACGGCTTTTGCCGCCTGTGCCACTGTTGAGAGAAGTGCAAAGCAAATAATTGAAAGTGCTCTGCACCAATTGCGAAGGAACTACTGTACAAGTCGATGCTCATGGATCACTCGAAGCAGCACGAGTGTGTATACGGCAATCACATCATGCATGTGTCTTGTGCCAAGCTAGATGTGGCTGTGGATCACTCACTGCTTGGGTCCAGCTTCACCCGTTGGTGGCCGAAAACGCCCATGTGTGCCAGGGCATCGAGAAGGCTTCTCCTTGGCAAGTGGCAGCAAAGCGCCCCGTGGCAACAAAGTGTCCTGTTGCCGGCAGCACCCAATTGGTTGCTCAGCTTCTTTTGATGGGAGCTGAGCTCATGCCCATCCTCAACTCCAAGCAGTCCGAATGGTGTCTTGACCAACTCGCACACACACACACTCTCTCTCTCGCTCTCTCTCCCTCCCGGCATGCGAAGCAGCGCTTGACACTCTGAACGTGTATGCGCTACAGGAGGCAGGTCCTGCTTATGATTCGATGGAGCGTGCAGAAAGTAGACCATCCCGCTGAATATGATTTGAAAGTGATCTTTGTCTTTCAACCTGTGCTAGAACAGGCCAAAACGAAACAAGGATGGCAATTGAGTATGGACATTGCCATGAAACCTGTCCGGATGCACGACGCACTTGTCGCCGATGGCATTTGTAATTGCTGCAATCCATTTGTGGACCTCCGATGCGTTTATTGTGCACTGCATGTTGCACTACGGCGCGTCCCACATTTCATGCTCCAAAGCTTGTATAAAGCAGCTGCGGGCCTCGCTGTGCTTGTCACGTCGCAAAACTTCAAACTCCTCGGGAAGATCTCCTCAGTCAAAGCTGCAGGTGAACAGCAACATCGGCGTTGCAACCGGTCACACCAGTAGTCTAATACTTTGTGATACTTTGTGCTGAAGGAGCTTTTTTCTGCTACCCCATCGCAACAGCCAAGCTGCGCAAATCATAGTGCGGAATGTCTCTCGGATGAAGTACTGCCAACTTGACCGCTTCAGTTTTTCCATGCGGCTTGTCTGGACGATGATGCGTCTGTTTTGCGAGGATCTTGCTCCAACGATTGTGCGGAAGCAGCATCGGCCAGGCCGGCCGCAGCACCCGAAGTCGAGCGAGGCTCATGTTAAGCGCAGCCCATGATCACGGAAACCACTTCTGAATAGGACATTGTTGAATCAGGTCAACAAACATGCGACAATTGGTCAAGTGACTGGTGCTCGCAAGTTGGTGTACTTCCTTCATGTGCTGCTGACAGCTCCGGAAAGAATTTCAAACGGTAGACAAGTTCGTGGACAGGCCCTGGACTGCAGTTGCAACTTGACCTGTCAGACAACGAAGCCTCGTCGGAGAATCCGCGTTCGCATGCAAGCGGCGACGTCCGCGGAGTCAACAATCGCCGACGGTAGATCATCTGCCGGCACTGCTACCGGAGCCGAAGCTGACTTGATACCACATGAACATGACACAGGTTCCAGATGTTCCACACGGAAGAAGCTACCTGTGGAAGGCCTGACGGCGAATCCAATCAATCACCATATCAAGTTGTCGATAAGATAATGATTAAACCTCTGTACAAGTTGGCATGTACCATCAAATTCTGAGCACAGAAGCGGCACAACAACATGCAACGATTACTGTTGAATACAAGTGGCTAGCACGGCTAGATAAAAAAGTTCTCATGTAGAACGGACGTAAAGCATCATGACCCATCTTTCTCTCCGCCTTGGCAGTTTTTGACACGCTTGCGGCTCACAGCCTCTCGCACAGCCAAGATGAAATTGAACCGGCACCATGTCCATTCCAATTCAGTAGCGAAAAGTGGATCAGTGACAACAACGGAAGCAAAGCGAAGATGCCAACTTCAATGTGTCGAAAAGCTGCTGTCAAACATTGACCCATCCCGTCTCTACGGAAACCAAGCATCCACGAGCAAGGTCGTGCTGGAAAGATTCAGCTTATGAAAACATGCGAATTTTCTCGAATCTGTGAATTTTTTAAAAAAGTATTGCATGACATTGTGTCATAAAATGCTGCCATCGTCTGCTGGGAAAAATACGACACCTTCAAGCTCATTGCCACCTGCAGTCCACTGCGACAGCAGAAGACAATGGTGTCGTTTCACATTTTTGACAAGCCATGTGCCTCTAACCAGCCGCTTGCCGAAGATGATTGCTTGTCTTTCGGATCCAGATTGGCAACCTTGCAATGTTATGCTTGCGCCACGACCAGACACATGGTACGTGCCCAGATGAAAGTGCTCTGGGAATAACGTTTAGGCCCATATATAACCCAGAGCGCACACACTTCCTGGAGGCTCCCGAGATAGTGCAACCCATCCGAGTAAATCTGCAAGATGCAACGAAGATGACTGTAAAACGACCGGGTGCGAAAGCCAAGTCCCGCAACAAGTGCCGATGAAGTTTTAGCAACCTACACCGAAGCTGCAATGCTACCAACTTGAACAGACCAACTGGAATCTTTGCGATGACTGTTTAAACACAGGTTTTTGGAATGTTTCCGAACCCTGGGTTTAAACTCGGAGGGGTGGAAGGGACATCATAACATCGAAATTCAAGGTTGAACCTCGGATTCGTGAATCGAACTCTTAACTTCGAACATAAATTTTTTCCGAATCCAGAGTTCCAGAGTTTCTTGAACCTGGAATTCAAAGAAGGTTTCCTGAACCTCGGGTTCGAACATCAGTTCCTCGATTCTCGAACTCGAAGTAAAACAGGTTTCTCTAAAAGAAATCCACACGAAATTGCTTGGCGGGAGTTGGAGGAAGAGTCTGGTACTAAGACCTTCACCATGGTCTTGAGTTAAGTGGAAGTTTCAGCAAATAAAAAGATAACATGGCACCATTGCAGACTTGTAGCCAAAAATTGGGATTCGTCTTGTGCCTTTGAAGCGGCTCAAACTGTTTACTCAACTCCAAACCCGTGCAAAGTGCAAAATTTGAGAAGAACGTGAACAGACGCCTTCTTCAACAAAAGTAGATGTGCTTATCGCGTTTTCAAGTTTTTTCAAAAAATTTTCTTTGTACAGCTTGCTGAAGAGAACGCATGGACACCGCAAACCGTGTCAAACAGAATATTTTTTTTTTTTGGCGTGAGCGGGCCTCGTCGACTACGGCTGTAGTACTCGGTCCCAACAAACCAAACAAACCAACAAACGAACACAAAAAGACAGCGGTGCAAAAAGCTAGCTGCGGCGCACAGGCTTTGCCGGTGTTGGCCGTTCAGCAAAGCTCCGGCCGCCGTTCTGGTTCCGTCGAACAACGGTCAGCCCCGGTCCTGTTGTGTCATGCACACAAAAGTCCAAAGTCCACAAAGAAGCCGAGCGGCTCTGAGATGGACCCTACGACGTATGTCGATGGTCAAATGGCTTTGGGCGTCTCGCATGCGGCGTCATACACCGTCACTGGTGTTCATTGGCTCATGGAGATGCGGCATCAGCTCAGTGGAGATGGAATTTGGATGCCTGGGCCAAATCCGCCTCGTTTAACGCAGGCCTCCGCTTCGTCTCCAATGGTCCTGGCCCCAGGGTCGCTGAGCTGAAACCAAGCGCGGCGTCTGTCGGCAGGTGAGCAATGCAACTTTGCACGGCACAAGACAAACACTTGACAAAAACGGTTCTTTGACAGCCTGGTTTGAAAAGGGAGAGGTGGTGAGTTGATGATCTGAAACTTGGAACCGGTAAGTGAAAATCTTATCGTCCAATCAGTCATCTTTCATGCCGAAACGGCAGCTTTTGAAGGTTTGGAGCAGTTCCAGGCTTTTTTGGCTTGCGCGGGCCTCGTCAACTACGGCTGTAGCACTCGGTCCCTACAAACGAACAAACTACCAAACACAAACAAAACAGCGGTGAAACAAGGAACCTAATTGGAGAAAGCGGAGCTAGCTGCGGTGCCCAGGCTTCGCCGGGGTTAACCGTTCAGCACATGCTACGGGTCCTCAGCGATCGTTCAACGACAACAGAGGGCCGTCGCCCAAAGTTGCCCAAGACCGTCAGTGGAGCCCAAGTCAAGGCTCCGGCCGCCGTTCTAGTTCCGTCGAACAACGGTCGACCCCGAGGTCTTGTTGTGTCCCGATCGTGCACGCCAAAATCCACAAGTCCAAAGTCCAGGCCAACGGTAGTGGAAAGACCCGTCGACGTATGTCGAAAGGCTGGACCTTGAGCATTTCATGAGTCCAAGTTCCGTCGAGCAGACCCCGAGGTCTTGTTGTGTCCCGATCGTGCACGCCAAATCCACAAGTCCAAAGTCCAGACCATCGGCAGTGGAAAGACCCGTCGACGTATGTCGACAGGTTGGACCTTGAGCATTTCATGAGTCCAAGGTCACTGGACACTCTCCTAGGCAGGGGGCCATTCATCAAGCTTACGCTGCATGTCGTTGCCACTTGTTGGAAAATGGGATTCCCGCAGTAGGTATAGCAATTGAAACTGGCCCGCATCATACAAAGCTTTGAGGCGGTGAAAGCCGTACTGGAGGGTGTCCAGGTCCGGCTCATGAAGGTGTGGCATAAGATCGTTGGAAATGAACGGGATTTGGATGCCCGGGCCAAGTCCGCCCTGTTCGATGAAAGCATGGGCCGCTGCACGCCACTCGTCTTGTCCCCACATGTGTCCGAAACGAAACCGCGGTTGGTTACCGTCGGGCAGAACCCCCTGATTAGCTTCCTGTGCCACTAAGTGATTGATCAGAACTTGAGCCCGAACGTCCCGTGCATCGAAGTGGGCATAGCGCCACAGGCGGACAGGGAAGTAGAAGTCCATTTTCCGAGGGCCGCGTAGCCAGAACACAACAACGGCACTGAGCTCCCAACTCCGGGTGGTGGCCGCCGTGCAGAGGCGACACAATGCAGCGTGCAAAAGTCCAGCAGAGACTGGAGGGGAAGAGCGGGCTGCGCCCGCAATCCCAGGGAGGCATCATCAAGAGGAAGCAGGAAGCGAAACGAGCAGGGAGAAGTCCACGATGAAAGCCTTCCCATCATGCGGGCAGCAATCGCGATTTGGGTTGGCCCAACCAGAGAGATCGGGACCTCGACAAACTGCAGGCCAGAAAAGCTCGACTGGCGCAACACGTACAAAGTTTGGAGCAGTTCCAGGCCATGGCTGCCCTGGGAGGAATTGGAATGTGGAGAAGAAGCTCTTCAAGGTTCTTCCAAAATTGCATTGAGTTCTTTATCGATTGTCATTTCTAGATTCTAGACCTTAAGAGGTTCCAAAGCCTGGAAGCCGCCGGCAGTATGTGAGAATCTACGTTGCGGACTGGAAATAGGTCCAAATAGATTCTTGTGTTTCGAAGAAGAGGCTAGCAGCTTCCCGACTCGCCTTTCTTGGCGCTGGATGTGTCCATGTGAGGTTATGGAGTTGGAGGCTGGTCTCCTCCCCCCCAAATTTGAACCTGGGATTGAACCTGGGTTCTCTCCCCCGGGGAGAGGGGGGGAACAACAACAACAACTCTGCGAACCTAGATTTGAACCTGGGTTTAACTTGGGTTTGAACCTGGATTTGAACCTGGGTTAAACCTTGGTTCGAACCTGGTTTCAACTCCAGGTTAAACCCAGGTTAAAACCCAGGTTAACCCAGGTTTGAACCCAGGTTGGAAACCCAGGTTCTAACCCAGGTTTGGAACCCGGGTAAAGGTTAAAACCCAGGTTCAAACCCAGATTAAATCCAGGTTCCAAACCCAGGTTTGAAACCCAGGTTCTAACCAAGGTTTGGAACCCGGGTTTTAAACCCAGGTTAAAACCCAGGTTTAAATCCAGGTTAACCCAGGTTCCAAACCCAGGCTTGAAACCCAGGTTCTAACCCAGATTTCGAATGCGGGTTTAAAAGCCCAGGTTTGAATCCAGGTTATAACCTAGCTTTTTAATCCAGGTTTGAAACCCAGGTTCTGAAACCCAACCCAGGTTTGAAACCCAGGTTCTAACCCAGAACCCGGGTTTCAAAACCCAGGTTTAAACCCAGGTAATAACCCAGGTTTGAACCCAGATTTGAAACCCAGGTTCTAACCCGGTTTGGAACCCAAGTTTAAAGCACCCAGGTTTTACCCAGGTTGAAACCCAGGTTCAAACCCAGGTTAAACCCAGGAGGGCTTCAAGGCAGGCCTAGGATTG